TGGGATTCGGCTCGCGGATGCTTGATTTTTGTTAATTTGATTGGTTGGATTTGGTTACCAAAATGTTTAGACCCATCTTTTTCCTTTTCCTTTTGGGTTTCGTGGATTAATCCAATTCGCTGCGGCGACGTCGTCTTCTTGAAGTTGTCATGCACCAAAGTCAAGCCCACGCCCAATCCCAAGATAAAGCCCAAGAAAATTAAAGCTCTCACTTGACTTTTCTTTTTGTTGGACTAACTAGTCTATGTAGCCAACATGATGATCTTTGTGAGGATCTCGAAAATTTATGAACTGTGTTCGTTCATCGTACATCGTACGGTTAATTTTCGTTAGGTACTGTTTGTGTTTAATTTTAAATAAAAAATTTAAAATGATTTCTAACCGCACGATATACGATAAACGAACACGATTCACTGATCCCTTGAATTAGGCCTGGCAAACGGGTCGTGTCTGTCGTGTTCGTGTCGTTTTCGTGTAACACCTGTTATCTTAACGGGTCGTGTCGTGTCACACCTGTTATCTTAACGGGTCCTTAACAGGTCGGGTCACTTTACCCCAACGGGTAAAGTGACCCGACCCGTTATGACCCATTATGACCCGTTAAGAAAAATATATTTTTTTCTTAAATTTGCACATACCACACATTACCACATAAATATTACTTCAAAACATTAAAACATATTTGTCATTTAAGTACTACATCTACACTCGAAAATAAGAGCCTAATAAAAAAACATCCATACACTAGTCTATTACAAAATATTAAATGTGCAAGGATATGCAAAATGAACGAGTTTTTGTTTTCAAGGTTGTGAAGCCTTTCTCAAAAGTTTAAACCTTGTCAATAGAACTCAAAGTTTGAATGTTATTTCTTTTACAAAATCCTCAATTTTCATCGATCATCATGGGGAAATTGTATTGGAACTTTGGCTTGATCTATTGCCTTCAAGAGTTCTGTTGATGATGTTTTCGGTAAGGTTTTTCTACGTCAGAACTCTATTCCGCATAAACTAAGTATAGAAAAACCAAACATTAAAAACCATTCAAATTATACAAACAAGATTGACGGTTGGATCATTGAAATTAGTTTCATAGAATTTGTATCTCATCCAAACCATAGATACTTAGACTTTATTTATACTTTCATTAAGTATAACATAAGATTTTGTGGTATCCACTTGTGTAAATATTTTAAATTGACGATCGAATTCATTCATTGTATTCGTATAGGGTCAACAAGTGTGGTTGTAAAAAATCATCAAAATCGGAGTTAAAAAAAACCGTTAAATCGTGATTTTTTTGTTTTATAACCGTCGAAAAGTTTTGTCTCATTACTTGATCTCTGAATGTTTGTTTTTTGTGATTTTTGGCGTATGCGATCTCGAAGCATATACAAACAAGTTTGACGGTTGGATCGTTGAAATTAGTTTCATAGAATTCGTATCCCATCAAAACGATAGATTCACTAACACTTACAGTTTATTTATACTTTCATTAAGTAAAACATAAGATTTTGTGGTATCCACTTGTGTAAATATTTTAAATTGACAATCGAATTCATTCATTGTATTCGTATAGGGTCAACAAGTGTAGTTGTAAAAAATTATCAAAATCGAAGTTAAAATAACCGTTAAATCGTGATTTTTGTTTTATAACCGTCGCAAAGTTTTGTCTCATTACTTGATCTCTGAATGTTTGTTTTTTGTGATTTTTGGCGTATGCGATCTCAAAGCATATACAAACAAGTTTGACGGTTTGATCGTTGAAATTAGTTTCATAGAATTTGTATCCCATCAAAACGATAGATTCACTAACACTTAGAGTTTATTTATACTTTCATTAAGTATAAAATAAGATTTTGTGGTATCCACTTGTGTAAATATTTTAAATTGACGATCGAATTCATTCATTGTATTCGTATAGGGTCAACAAGTTTAGTTGTAAAAAATTATCAAAATCGGAGTTAAAATAACCGTTAAATCGTGATTTTTTGTTTTATAACCGTTAAAATTTTTTGTCTCATTACTTGATCTCTGAATGTTTGTTTTTTGTGATTTTTGGCATATGCGATCTCGAAACATATACAAACAAGATTGACGGTTAGATCATTGAAATTAGTTTCATAGAATTCCTATCTCATCCAAACGATAGATACTTAGAGTTTATTTATACTTTCATTAAGTATAACATAAGATTTTGTGGTATTCACTTGTGTAAATATTTTAAATTGACGATCGAATTCATTCATTGTATTCGTATAGGGTCAACAAGTGTACTTGTAAAAAATCATCAAAATCGAAGTTAAAATAACCGTTAAATCGTGATTTTTTGTTTTATAACCGTCGAAACGTTTTGTCTCATTACTTGATCTCTGAATGTTTGTTTTTTGTGATTTTTTGCGTATGCGATCTCGAAGCATATACAAACAAGTTTGACGGTTGGATCGTTGAAATTAGTTTCATAGAATTTGTATCCCATCAAAACGATAGATTCACTAACACTTAGAGTTTATTTATACTTTCATTAAGTATAACATAAGATTTTGTGGTATCCACTTATGTAAATATTTTTAAATTGACGATCGAATGTATTCATTGTATTCGTATAGGGTCAACAAGTGTACTTGTAAAAAATCATCAAAATCGAAGTTAAAATAACCGTTAAATCGTGATTTTTTGTTTTATAACCGTCGAAAAGTTTTGTCTCATTACTTGATCTCTGAATGTTTATTTTTTTGTGATTTTTGGCATATGCGATCTCGAAGCATATACAAACAAGATTGACGGTTGGATTGTTGAAATTAGTTTCATAGAATTCGTATCCCATCAAAACGATAGATTCACTAACACTTAGAGTTTATTTATACTTTCATTAAGTATAACATAAGATTTTGTGGTATCCACTTGTGTAAATATTTTAAATTGATGATCGAATTCATTCATTGTATTCGTATAGGGTCAACAAGTGTAGTTGTAAAAAATTATCAAAATCGAAGTTAAAATAACCGTTAAATCGTGATTTTTTTGTTTTATAACCGTCGAAAAGTTTTGTCTCATTACTTGATCTCTGAATGTTTGTTTTTTTTGTGATTTTTGGCGTATGCGATCTCGAAGCATATACAAACAAGATTGATGGTTGGATCGTTGAAATTAGTTTCATAGAATTCGTATTCCATCAAAACGATAGATTCACTAACACTTAGAGTTTATTTATACTTTCATTAAGTATAACATAAGATTTTGTGGTATCCACATGTGTAAATATTTTAAATTGACGATCGAATTCATTCATTGTATTCGTATAGAGTCAAAAAGTGTACTTGTAAAAAATCATCAAAATCGAAGTTAAAATAACCGTTAAATCGTGATTTTTTGTTTTATCACCGTCAAAATGTTTTGCCTCATTACTTGATCTCTGAATGTTTGTTTTTTGTGTGATTTTTGGCATATGCGATCTCGAAGCATATACAAACAAGTTTGACGGTTTGATCGTTGAAATTAGTTTCGTGTATCCCATCAAGTTCAATGGTGTGTGTATATATATATATATTTATTATGTAGATTTAAATCTATTTATTTTGTACTTATAATTATTATAGTTTTTTTAGGGGTATAAAATTTAATTTAAAATTTAATATATATATATATATATAGTTATTATAGTTAATATTTTGGGGGTATAATTATTATAGTATATATAATTATTATAGTTAATTTAATATATATATATATATATATATATATATATATAGTTTTAAACTTTTTAGGGGTATAAAATTGTTTTAAATTATTATTATATATTAATTATTATAGTATTTTTTAGGGTTATAAAATTATTAAATTAATATTCTGCTTATCGTGTATCGTGTTACCCACGTGTATACCCGACCCAACCCGTTATCTTAACAGGTGCTTATCGGGTTACCCGATAATACCCGATTCGTTATCGTGTCGACTCAAACACCTGTTAATTTTGAGTCGTGTCGTGTCGGGTTATCGGGTCGTGTCAGTAATTGCCAGGCCTGCCTTGAATCCTTATAAAGAGGATCCAGATTCTCTATGTAGAATCATTTACTCATTCTTCATTGAAGTATTCTTTTTATAAGGTAACAATTTGTTTAAATTATTCTAATCTATAGTAACGGTATTCGCTCTTAGATACCAAAAAAGAAAGTATAGTATTTTGATCAGCTAATTTAAATTGCATCTCTTATTAAACGATATTCAAAAGACAAAGGAAAAAAAAGTTAGAATGCGTTAAAAGATTAGTCCTTGCTTTTTATTAAGGGAACTTTAACGAAAAACTTCTAGTACTGTTCATTTTAACGAAAAACCATATTTTTACACTAAAAAGTCAATCCCGGTACTATTCATTTTACCCTTTATTTTGTCCTTATTGTTAAAACTCAAAGTTTTAAAGTCATTTTCATTAGTTTTCCTTTTAAATAAAGCATCTGAAGTCACGTGAGCATCTGGTTTAGCAACCATTAGTCTTTATATTGTTGAATGGGATATAGAAGTTAAGTTTGCATGACAATTACTGGTTAACCAAAAAAGGAAGAAACAAAAGCATATGAGGATTGCTCCTAGTGAAACATGTTTTTGGGTGTCAAAATATTTTCATGACAACTTTAAAACTTCGATCATGAATCATGATAAATTGACAACATAACATATTAGACTATAATTATTAGCTCTGACACAAATTGACTCAATTAACTGACAAAAGAAAGAAAGAAAGAATTATGGACATAAAGATGGAACTAACTAAAATAACTCTCTACATCTTTCATAAAATTCCTATAGGATCTAGGAAGCGCTTTCGTGAAATTGATTTCGGATTTCAAAAGTAGTTTAAGTGTTCCTTGGAAGAAACACCAAATAAGTGCTTCTTGGAAGAAACATCAAATAAGTGCTTCTTGCAGAAAGTACTTAAAATGCTTTTGAACTTTTACTAGGAATTGGTTTCAAAAACATATTCACCAAAAACACTTTCAATCATTTTCCAAACAAGTCCCTAAAGCCAAAACAAGACATCCAAGACAAACAAACCAAAATATCAAAAGCAATGTCTGCCATGATATATATAGAATAGAAGTATTAATTATACAAACAAACCCACAAGCAACAAGGGCGCGGATTTTTTTAGTGCTATCATTGATTAAAACACCACACACATATTTATGCATCTGTTTTCAGAGGTAGTCCAAGTCTAACTCCTTGCCTAAAGATAGTCACCAAGCAAACACTTTAGAACAAAAGCAGTTATAAGTGACCTTAATATATAACTTAGTGATGATTAATCATATCTCAGATCACGATCAAGCAAGGCGGAGATCGTGCAGATGAGTAATGGAGGAGCCGAGGGAACTTCCTCCGTGGTGGAGGTTAGGGTGGTGGAGGTGGAAAGTGTACAAGTTATTCGCCCCATTTGACAATGCAAGTGCAGATTCGTAGTCTCCCTCATTGTCCTCATAACCATACTGTGGATCCTCGCCGGCTGCTTCCTGGTCAAACTTTAAGTTTTCAAACACAGTATTAGATAGCAATAAAAACATATAATAATTAAAGGAAATAATTAGAAACTGAATTGATATATATTAGGATGCTTGATTATATATACGCTTACATAGCCATGCAGCATGTTTCCTCTTCTTTGCTCCAAGTTCTTAACCTGCAGTGGTGGGATTTTATTGAATTTCAAAAATAGTACTCGAAACTTACAAATATTAACTTATGATCCAGTAAAAGTTTCTAAATAACCTTCTTCTTGGTGGTCTCCGTCTGAGTTTTGATCACATGGTACTGTAAAAATCCAACAAATAATTACATTGCCAAATCCGTCATCAACGTCAAGGAGCTCAAATTAAGTGATACACAAAATACAGGATTGGGAAGAACTATTTGTGCTAGATTTTTTAAGGATGTAGGGAGAAGCTTTCGGAAGTGAGATACACTATAAGAAGTATCATTTAGGTTTTAAACTTGGGTTTTTTTTCGTTACATAACTGGCAAAAGCCCAAAGCAACTAAATTAGAAAGTTCCTCCGAATTCTATTATTAGGGATATTTTCAAGTGCCGGCTATTCTAGCAGTGAATTCACATATCATAATACAAAGGGAAGGAAATGATATATTTTTCTGTGTCCTCTACTTGTATTATGACACATGGACTACCCGCTTGAATACTGTACAATTTGCAAAATTTCTCAAATTGTACGAGTCTACTTCTAGACCGAATGGCTAGAACTTCGATTGTAACGTTTTTCTTACGATTAGCATGAGCAATAGAACAGTACTAACTTCTATTCAGTAAGATCCTGTCACACATACAAATTAATAATGTTCTCATCTTTTAATCGAAATCTCAAATTTCAAGGTGTTTTCATACTGAGTGACTGATTATCAAGGCTTGTGTGTGAGGGATTACAAAATTCTACATGTCAAAAAAATTATTTATTATACTCCTCAAAAGAAATGTTTATTATGAAAAATTATTAGGAAATCCATCAGGACTTAATAGTGTGGACTTAAGTTTTTCAGAATTAAATTACAAAAAGGTTGGAATTCCTGGAACCCTAATATCAGATTTTTACAGATCTATATTCAGGTACCTTTTGAACTTTATAATTATTTTTCGATACAGAAAACTAAAAGTATATTAGAAACGAAAATCCGACCTTCCTTTGACGTATGGCATCCAAGGAAGACTGCATCTCATCGTCAAGAGAAGCCAGCTCGTCAAAGCTCAGGCCATTTAGATCATGGCCCAACCTCTGCCTGTTAATTTTATACATTAATTAATACATGTATATTAATCTAATCCTGTAATATTCATATATATTCCTCTCAGAAACAAGTTGATTCCTTTTTTTCTGGATTTCCCAATGTAATAGATGTAATTACCTGATCTCTCTCCTCAGCTTATTGTTGATCTCTTTCAACTTCCACAAGGTGTCTTTCATCGACTGCACCCGCGGCCAAAGAACCAATTAATTAACCAGAAACAAAAAACACTATAAAACTTCCAAGATCTAAAAAAATAAACAAATAAAAGAAGTGGAGAGAAGATATCCTTGATTATAATTAACCTCCTCGTGTGTCCTCCACAGATCGATCCCCATAGTTTTCTGATAGTCATCATACATACTCTTGGTCCTATTACATCAAAATTTAAGCAGAAATTGCAAAAAGAAAGGAGGAAATTAATTATAAAAAAAGATAAATTAAAAAAATAATAATAATAGGGTTTGACGAGAGAAGGACATACGTAGTGGTAGGGCTGATATACTCGTGCATTTTATTAGTGTTGGAGAGCATAATGAGGGAGACCTTGGCATCACAGAGAACGGTGAGCTCCTGAGCCTTCTTGAAGATCCCATTTCTTCTCTTGGAGTAGGTCACCTGCCTGTTGGTCTGGTTTTCGATCAGCTTGATTTCAATCTTCCCACGACCCATAATTTCTCTCTCTCTCTCAAATTTCTTACCTTTTCCTAGCAATTTTCTGATCTTGTTTTACTTGATATATCAAAAAAATGGGAAGATGGGGTTGCTTGTGTATATAATATTGGGAGTCATGTGTGGATGAAGAAATGGAGAGGAAAGCAGAAGGGTTTCTATATCGGGAAAGTGAGATGAAAAGTTGGGTTGTAGTCTAACCAGGAATGTCTGCTGCTTAAACTGCTAACTTCTAATCTTTATATATATATATATATATATATATATATATATATATATATATATATAGAGGTGGATTGTCTACCCTCTCATTTTCATACTCTTCTCATCTCCTTCTGTTTGTGTGGTTACGATTAAGCCACGTCTACATTTTATATTGATTTTTTTTATAAAAATAATAAAACAAAAAATAATAGAAATATAAAATGTTAATGTAGTTTAACCGTGACCACACAAAACATGAGGGGATGAGAAAAGTATGAAAATAGGAGGGTAGACTATCCACCTCCTATATATAGTGGGACAAGGATTGTCTGCCCTCCATTTCCGGTGCCTTCCCCGTGCCCTCATGTTTTGTGTGGTCACGGTTAAGCCACGTCAACATTTTATATTGTTTTTTTATAAATATAATAAGACAAAAATGAATAGTAATATAAAATGTTGACGTGGTTTAACCGTGACCACACAAATAGGAGGGCACGGAAAGGGCATCGGAAGTGGAGGACAAACAATCCTTGTCCTATATGGTGTGGCCAGGCTTGTAGGCTTGTTGCTAGCTAGCTAGCTAGAGCCTAGAGATTGCTAGTTGCTAAGTTAAATGTTTAACAGTAGTTCTGAACCTACCGATGATAGCGTCTGATGTAGCTATAGTGCATAGGGTTTCGATTCTTTTGACCACGACAGTACAGGAACAGGAACACAAACACACGAGTCCTGTTCAGCGTGCTAGTTACTTGAGTTAACAGTTTCATAATATCATGCATGCTAGGGAGATCTCAAATTTTGAATGTGTCTAGGACCAAACTGATTACATTTATATGTACGCGCGGTAGTACAAAATCCTTTGCTTGTGCAAATTTTTTCAATTTTTGATACATATGCAAAATTATATTACCAGCAAGTAACACTGTATGTATGATAGATATAGCATCTCTCCTTTTCTCTCTTGTGTTTATACTATTCGACCCATAAAGAGAATCTTTATATTAATATGCTCTCAGCGACTAAACTAGGTTTTTAATATGGGGTTGCATTGTTTTTGTGTGTGCTTGACATAGGTATATAAGTATGTTGTGTCTATCGTTTTTGTGATATATTTGTACTGGTAAGATATATTTGTATTGGTGACACTTGTTTATTATTAGATGGCAAGTTTACTTAGGGGGATTTCCTGCTTTGTTATTTGTGAAAATTTCTCTTCAAATCAAGAAATTGATCATTGTTATAAGAGAGAAGCTAAGATCTCGTACTTTGGATGCTGTGTAACTATGCAAACTATAGAAACCTTTCATATGTCGTGGACACTTACATGCTCCGTTAAATCAAAGACTTGAGGACTAATTGTTTAAGTCTTTTATATCATAGATAGGGTATAAAGCACCAAATTTATCCAAACTCATGCAAGTGATAGGAAACCACAACTATAACAACAATATGAGTTTTTCATTGTACATTCTTCAAATGAGAGGTATGTGGAAGTAATCAAGGTCCGATGGAGAGCTTATAGAGTTGATTAATTAAATTGATTTACAAAATCTAGGGAAATTAAGAACTGCATATGTCGATATGAGGAGATAAATAAACATAAGAAATGTATATACCAGTGACAAAAAAAAATTTTAGTTCTACTATATATCCATCAAACAACATGTGTTTCAAATACTTTCTAGATATTTATATAAGATGCGGTCAGATTCACAAAACTTTGTTGTATTAACATTTCACTAATTGAGTTAATTTGAACACTAAAACTTAATTTCAATGACTCATGTTCAATAAATTATTTACAATGTGATCAGAGTGTAGTATCCACCAAATTACATGCGTGTCTCATGATACACATACACAATATACAAGGTGTAAATGAGTAGTTTGTACTTGGACGACAATATCGAGTTTGAGTGAGGAGTGTGATTGAGAGATTTCGAAGATATTAACGTTGTTGGTTATCACCTATCTACCACAACGCATGTCCCATCTCTCTCTCTCTCTCTCTCTCATCAGAAGGGGTGAATGACCTCTCTCTGTTAAAGCTTCGTATGCATGCCTTGATTTTAGCTCCTGCCTTCACAATCTGTGCTATTGAGTGTTCTTGTTGATGACCTATTAGTTTTGTGTTAGTTTCCTAAGAAGGTCCACTCTTGGACTGCTGATTACTCCGCCGAATTCATATAGATTCCTTCATAATATGATTAATTACCCAAAAATGGTTCTAAGCCAGTTTCTCAAATTGGTTCAGGCCCCTTAGCTTGTTGAGTATTTTTTTCATATCAAGCTACTAGATAGAACAATTTCATGGCGTTTGAAAAATGTCATGGAAACCTTTCTATGACGTTTTTCAAACACCACAATGCACGTCATAGATCGATGAGTCGTGGAAAGTCTGCCAATACAATGACATTGAACAATGCCATAAAAAGTCCTTTTCATGACATTGAAACATATGCTAATCTGATACAGTTCGATACTGTGATTACTATGCTTTCTTGTGATAACCAGCATCTGCATGAAAAAGAGAACAAACGTAATAGTGATTCTCAAAGAAGAAAAACCAAGGCATTAGAATCAATGGCCACCTGATACCATGATAATGCTAAGAACAAACTATGAAGAAGAACTTAAGAAGAACTGAAGAAAGCTTTCGAAGAGAGAGAATGTAGAGAGAGAAACTGTATTTTATTATATCCAACTATTACATCATACATCCTTATAAATACAATGACACATATCTGACTTCTAGAGTCTCCAATACACTTGTGACACCTGGCAATGTAAAACAATACTAATCTTTTATCCTAACAGATAAAACCGCTACATCAAAATATCGTAGAAACAAATTTAGACAACTTGAGTTTTAAACACATGGTGATCAGACAAATCCAAACATTACAAGAAGGATTCATTATATTCTCAAGCAAAATGTTTCTTTTCTATTAATTTTTTTAATTTTACAAATGGTTAAATGTCATACAACATATTCAAAAATTAAAAGGAAAAATTAGTATCCGGTCCCTAGTTTTTACTGTTCATTGACTAAGACCTTATTAGTTCTCAAATTTTGATTCAAGTCCCTAGCATTAATGTGATAATGAATTTACATGTTTATTATATAATTTTTTAATATAAAAATTAGTAATTAATTTAGGGTTTAATACTCACACCTCTATTAAAATTCTAATTAATTTTCAATTCAAACATTTCCAAAATAAAAAAAAATTAAATTAAATTAACTTTGTACCTATTAGGTTTTTTTTTTATATATAAAAAGATTCTCAATTTTTTAATCTTAAATGTACCCATTCATATAATTTTTCAATTTTTTTAATCTTAAATGTACCCATTCTCAAATATATCAATTTGTTATAGGTAAAATGTACCCTTTTTTTAATATAAAATTCATTCAAATTTTTTAATCCATGTTTAAACTTATATGGGTACATTCTTTTTCGTTGATTTGAGAATGTATCCATGTTTTGGTACAATAACTTTTTTTTGTTAATTTTGGTTAATGTACCCATACATATATGTATATATATATATACACACACACAATATAATAGAGAGTATAATTTATATTTTATTATTTTTAATCCCATAAATTATGGGTTTTATTTAAAATCTCATTAATATAAACAATTACAAATTTCAATTTTTAATTTTTAATTAAAAACATATAGTAACTTACATTATTTCATTAATGTCAAGGACCTCAATCAAAAACTAAAAACTAATAAGGTTTCAATCAAAGAATATTGATAGCTAGGGACTGCATCCAAAGTGTCCCAAATTAAAAAAAGCTCCCTGATAGGCAACACATCAACAGACTAAATTCAAAGACTGTACAATTTATTTGTCAAATGAAAGTTATAAAACATTGAGCTTACGTCTGCCATACATATCCAGGCCAGAAAACAATGTTTTGATACTGATTTGAACAAGGTAAAACTATGCAAATCAAAGTAAATTATATTTAAGAAGAACAGTAAATGATTGCATAACTAAAACAAAAAAATATGCACAGGTCTGCACACCTTACTCATCAGTCATCATCTGCGTATATAAAGACAGTAAACCTAAGTGCAGGTGGACGGGTGGAGCTATGAGCTATCTCAGATCGCACAAGCAATACCTTAAGTACCCAAAAAAGACTAATTGAGTGTATTAAAAAATATTATCAACAAAGCTGCGCAGAAAGTTAGATGCATGTGTTTAGATTGGGCAGCTCACCTTGCACATATGAGGATGTTGGTCGTATTACAAAACCACCTAATTGTTTGGGGATGTTGGCCCTTTTGTTACAACAAGTCTCAAATCTGTTATATCATTTTTTTGGCAAATTGGAATGATATTTGGTTGGCTCGGCTCGTCGATAGTTCTACTCATCACTTCATGAGTCACTTTGTGAAATTGGAATTCACCAAAGTCAAGTTTTAGGGTCAGACCTAGGCTTACTCAGGTTAGCGAGATCATAGAGCGGGGAGCACAATTTGGTTGGCTCGTCGATAGCCCAATTCAGCAGTCATTCCTACTTTCACTCAATCATATTTGGACACGTGTTCAATTTGTGTTTATAATTTTATTATTTAGATACACGTCAAAATTTGATTGGTTCAAAGCATGAATAGCTACTAAATTTTCAGCAGCCAAGTATTGTTCCAATTTAAATATGAACCAAATTAAGGAGCGTTCCATGGCCATGACCATAGAACCGGGAGCACCACCATGGAAGGCCAGCCTTCCCTCAATTACGGGCCTTAAAAATGACTAATCAAATCAAATAACAAATATCATCGCTCAAGAATACAATTACATAATTACATATATAATTGCATCCAACTAAACGGAGGAGAT